AAAGTGTGTATAGGCCATTATGATTCTTAAAAATTCAAATCGATCTTCTATTATTTCAAATAACAATCTTGAGAACTTAATAGTTGATTAATGAATACTTTTCACAATATGGGAACTCTAGAATAGAAAGGCTATAAGGTATTAAAAATCAAAGTGACTTACGAGAATATCATATAAATGACGAACAAATTGTTATATATATATATATATATATATATATATATATATATATATATATATATATACACATATATATCATTTAGGAGTGCCGTTACCTTATATATCGTTTATGAGTGGTACCCGAGATATGACAAGGGTACCGTATTAATATATTTGATTTTTAGTCATGAGTGACGATAAGACTATGAACTATGAGCATAATACAAGACTAATAAGCAAGGTGTCTTTGGTGCACATCATTTTCTCTTTTTAATTTTATAGTTTTATTCTAATGCCATGTCGGCATTGTAATTATTATTCTCTCTTGATAAAAACGAATTAAAATATACAACTGGTTTCCTTCTTTTTCACCTTTCCACTGTTGATATTTGGGAACAAATACTTCATCGCCGAAAAATCAAAAGGAATTTGACACCATAGTTTCTTCATAAAAAGTAAGAAAATTTGAGGGTCATTTCATTGTTTTTAAAAGAAAAATATGAAGTCTTAGTTTCATTAAATATTTAATAGGAAAATGATTAAAATAGAAATAAACTAAAAGTTTAATGAGTAAAAAATAAAAAAGTTAATAAATAAATTGATTTTTAAAAAAATTTAGTGATTAAAATAAAAATGAGAAAAAAAGTTAATGAAACTTTATAATTTACTCTTTTAGAAAATAACTGGATGACTGAGTCAGCTGGTCAATACATAGCCGACCCCAAAATCAAATTCAATATTATGCCTACTGATTTCATTTCATTTTCTTCCTAGTTGTGGTGAGCTTGCTGGTCGGATGCGGTGAGAATCCGAGGGGAATGTCAAAGAATTATTGAAATTGCTTAATGTTTACAACAATAGAGTAGATTCATCTTCTGTGGATTCATAAAATAATAGAAACAATAATAGTCCGAAATGAGGAATTCGATTAAAGTTTCATATTGTGAGTAATAATTTTCAATCTAAAATACGAATTAATACTCCAAGTACCAGATCCACATAAAACCAAGAATTTGAAATAAAAAACTATTAAATTTAGTGTGTCTCTAAAATATAACAGTCACAAAACAAATCACAATCCAATTAAAAAAATCATATACGTTCATAGTTCGAATAATATGCAAATTAATATGCACTCATACCATTATAATATCCGAAGAATAGGATCCCGAAACTACGCTCTACAAGACAATATCTCACAAAGACAGAGGTCAAGTGACCACTGAATCAGAAGTGAAATTCACCTCGTTGGGTGAATACAATAAACTACTTATATCAATCTCAACCCAATATAACATGGCATCATGATATATATATATATATATATATATATATATATTAAATTTTCTATCATATGCAAATGCAAAAATATTCACATAATCACATAGTCTGAATGCACAGTATAAAATTTGAATCCGACAAATCAACATAATCAAATATTCCAAATGGACAACACATATTTTGTATCATACAAACTAACATGTATCACATGATATTTTTTCGAATTACATTTAATACAATCAATTTCAAAGAATAATCAAACTCACGATCAACAAAATAACTAATGACGATCGTAACAACTTCACGATCAGTTTATGTAGTGAATTGACCTGAAACAATTTAATAAATAAATTAATATTATAAAAAATGTCACTAAAAATCTCAATTAAAACTCACGGTCAACATTGTTAATACGAGTTGATTCGAAATTAGTAGATAACAACGACTGGGATGATAATTCAGGTCTCACTCGATTTCTCCTATAAAATTATGTTGTCTAATTTTAAATCTCAATAAACCAATTTTCAAATTAAAGGAAATAATTATCGATGATAATAAAATAATTTTAATTCGAATAAAAATAGACAGCAGGGTTTGATTCGAATATAGGGGACTTTCAGATCAAGTGAAATGTCTAGCCGCAACAGAAGCACACTGACAGCAGTCCCTAGGGTCAATGATCTCACGACCAGCCTTGACGTGGCCTTAAACGGCCGGTGACGACGCCAACGGAAAATGGCGGTGACGACAACAACCAACGGCTGCCCAGCCCAAATCCCGCATATTAGGCCTACACCTCGGGAATCCCGGCCACGCCTTGGCCAACAACGCCGATTTGAAGTGCGGAGGTGACGGTACAAAGCACCCGCGTTGTCCCTAACGTGAGAGAGAGGAGATGGCCAAACGACCAAGGGAAAACGAATCACGACCGGAGGTGCGACGGAGTAATGACGACTAACCAGTGACCCAAGCTGTTCAACGACGGTGAGGGAATAGCAAGAGAGGGAGGGCTTTTGAACTAAAAGAAATAAAACAAAGAAGAAATAAAGAACAGCGGCGCGGGAGAAGAAGAGTTGGAGTTGAACTTTAAGAATTTTTTGTCTAATTGCAGGGTTGATCTCTAAACTTCTTATGGTTTTTGAAACGTGTCTCAACTTTGGACCTTTTATAATTTGGTCATATAGTTCAATTTAGGGATTTGGGGAAAATTCTCAAATCCTAGTTGTTGAACCTATTTTTATATAACAATTTTAAAGGTATCTTGTTTTTGGATTTGATTGAATTTTTTTCCAAGTTTTCAAAAAAATAATTCAGTCTATAAAACTTAAATTTAAACACAAAACAAATTTTTTGGGTAAATAGTATCGATACTGCATGGTACTAATATTGTTCTTATAGTATCAATTTCAAAGATAGGAGAAGTATCGATATTACATGTTGTTTTCCAAAGTGTTCAAATCACCATAAATAAATTTGGTACCAATACTCAAAGAGTACCGATACTACTTTACATAGTAGTATCAATTCCATGAAACCCTTGTACTGATACTGATGAGCTCAACGGTTGATAACAACTAGTTTATTTAAATATTACAAAAACAGTACCGATACTGCTCGCTCGAGTATCAATACTCCTTGTTCTAGACAATTTTATTTTGCAGAAAATTAATCTTCAACGGCTACAAAAACATCTCTATCGGCTAGAAATGATAACAAACTCATTCCAATATATAAAACAAGTTGAGGAAACTTGAAGAAGGTTATAACACAAATCCAATCAATCAAGATCAATAGAAAAGCTTTTACATTATTAGGATACGTTGAAGCTCAAATGACAATCGAAAACGTTTGCCTAGAAGGGGTGAATTGGCTTTTTGAGAATTTTAGGGAGTAAGGAGAATTAAAGGGATAAAAAATTGATGCACAAGGATTTATAGTGGTTTGACTTTCTCAACCAAAGTCTACATCCACTACCTAAGCTCCTCACTTAGGATTTTTCAACAAATCCACTAATTTGTTCTTTCTTTTTCAAGGACAAAGAGATAACCTTTACAAACTCTCTAGCTTTTCAAAGGCTTAGCTAGAACCAAAATCCCTTTATAAAGGATAAAAGAAGTAAACAATAAAACCTCTACAAGGTAGGGTGTTTACAAATTAAAGCTCACAAAAACACAATATTTACAAGAGAAAGGAAAATAAGAATGAAAAACTCTTCTCTTGTGTTTGATTGCTTGGATAGGTGTTCCAACCCTTCAAGTGTCTTGAACTTGTATTTATAAGTTGGAATGAGTTTTGTGGTCGTTTCTAACCGTTGGGAGTGATTTGGAGCAGTTGGGATGTTTTCTCTGATAAAACTACCTGGGACAGAGGGTATCAATACTCCTATAGGGAGTATCGGTACTACCTTTGTAATATTTAAATAAAACAGTCGTTGGGTCTGACGGTATTGATACTATCCTTCATGGTATCGATACGACTATGTAAATTAGTATTGGTACTCCTTTGGATATTGGTACCTATTTTTCATTCTAGAATTTGAGCAAGCTGGTAGTATCGATACTACCTTGATAATATCGATACTTCTCTTACCTAGGGTATCGGCACCACATGAACAATATCGGTACTGTTGATATAGTATCGATACTGTAAGAACAATATCGATACTACGTACGTTGAAAATCAATTTTGTGCTCAAATTCACTTTTAATGGACTTTGAGTTATTTTTGAAAACTTTTAATAAATTCAATTCAAGTCCAAAAACATTTTGCCTTAATTTGTTATATCAAAATATTATAAAACATGGTTCAACACACTCTTTATTCTTTTTTTTCTCTTGTCATAGAGTATTTTTGTGCTTAATTGTATAAACGCCTATCTTTGTGAGGTATTCTTGTTTACTTATTTATTCTTCGTAAAAAGAGGAGTGGTTCTAGTTTAACCATTGAAACTTAGGGAATTTTGTAAAGGTTACTCTTAAGTAAAAAAAACAAATTAGTGAATTTGTTAGAAAATCCTTAGTGTGGAGCTAAGGTAGTAGATGCAAACTTTATTGAGGAATTTGAACCACTATAAATCATTGTGTCATATTTTTCTATCATTTCTCCTCAATCACAAAAATTCAAAAGGTCAATTCACTCCTATTGGCTATTTTTTCGGTTGTCCATAGAGCCTAAAATCCTAATAATAGGGTTTTAAATTGGGGTAAATTTCAGGTGTTATTGATAAACTTGACGATGATTTCCAACGACATCGTATAATCAAGGTTCTAAATGACTTAATCGACATCAACAATGTAAGTATTATTATCGTCCTATTGATTACAACATCATGGTTATCTTCAAAAAAATTATGAACCAGTTCAAAGAGGCAATGAGAGACATCTTCGACGACGACGAATGAGGTAGAGTGTTCTTGAGGTTTATGAAATAACTAGTGTCAATGAATAAAGCCTTAACTCTGTCGTTGAGTGAGTGAGTGACTAGTTTTACTTTTCTATGAAAACTATTAGCCATTGAAGTTGTAAATATGAATTTGTTTTTATTTGTGTTTGTTGGTGTAACATCCCAAAAACTAAGTTAGTGACTAAATTGTAAGATTTTGAAACTTCGGGTCTAATTTCAAAAAATTAGAAAAGTTCAAGGATTTAAATTGGAATATATGTTGGTGTTGGATTAAATAGTAAAGAATGAAGGGTATTATGGTCTTTTAATTTTAAAGGATATTTTATCTCCTTTATTAAGAGATAAACACGTGGAAATTGGAGAGATATCTAGAAACATTTTCCTCTTGCATTCTTCTTCTTCCCGCGTGCTCTACTTCAAAGGTAAGATTCTGAATTTTTGTTGATTTCTTTAACTTTTGGGGTTGTATTGAAGGCTTAGGTGTTATACAAGCTTAAAGAAAGCTTGTATAGGATTAAAACAACAAGAGGAGAGAATTATAAAGGAATTTGTAAAAAGGTGTAGAAGTGAATTGTTGATATGATGTAGTTTTTAGAGTTTTGTTGATAAATTTGACTTGTCATAAGTAGGAATAAGAAGTCTAAAGTATTAGAAATGAGTTTAGAACATGTTGAAAGTTTAGTAAAATTCTTAATTTCAAGAGTTATGGTGAGATATTGAAGATAATGATGTGTTATAGTGTTAAAAGATGGTTTAAGTATGTATAGTTGAGTTTAATGGTATGAAAAGAGTTCTATAAGTGGAGTTTAAGTGAAGTGTTAGTAATTTTCGGTTTAAGGAAGTATAATCTGGTTGGTGGTATCGGTACTCGATGAGTAGTACCGATACTACAAGGCATTAATAGGTGAAAATTATGTGTAGGTATCGATACTGCATGAACAGTATCGATACCATAAGGCAAAAGTTGACAAAATCTTCATAGGGTATCGATACTGAAGTGGAAGTATCAGTACCATAGGTATCAATACCAAGGTAGAAGTATCGATACCATTTTTACAATGAAAATTCCAGAATCAAGAATAGTTATCGATACCGTGGGATGGTATCGATACTATAAGCATAAAGGTATCGGTACTGTACTTGTAGTACCGATACTACTCAAGCTGAAATTTGGAATTTAGTGCTTTGATTAGTTTACATTTGTAAGAATCTTTTAGAGTAATTGACTTCCGATATTTATATGAATTGTATATTCGTGTAGATATCGAACAAAAGCAAAGTTCAGACAAGTCAACAGAGTAAGATTTACTGATAGAGATATAAGAGATTGGTATTGACTAGTGAGACCAAGGTGAGTACATGATATTATGTATAAGTTATTTAATGGAATTAAGACTTGTGATGAGTCTAATTCATATGGATTACATGAGTACATGAAGATAAGTATGTTATTGCTATGTTGCTTATGCGTACATAAGTATATGCATAGGTCTAGATGTTAAGTACATTTTTATACATGATTTATGTGAATGCATGTCTGTGTGATAAACTATGTAAACTGATATAATTGACTTATGTAATTAAAGGGAAAAATGAAATAAGCTATGTGACTATGAGCTATGTGATAATAAGAGATATGTGAGTACATGATCATAAGATATAAGTCATGTAACAAGATATATGTGATTACATGGAAATATAATATAAGTTATGTGAAAGTGATCTATGTGATTATATATTTATGTGATACAAGTTATGTGACAAATATAAATAATAATGTCCATGTTATATGATATGAGAGCTAGGAGTATTATAACACCCTCAACCCGTATCCAACCCGGATCCAAGTCTGAGGTGTCACATTGACTTTTCAAAACTCTTTTATTTACAAATCCCCCAAAATCTTAAATTCATAATTTGAGAAAGTGAGTACTTTTTAGAAATAAATATAATCAAATTGTTTTACAACCTAATCAAAGCATATTCAATCCAAATCTTGTAACTACATGCCAACTAAATTCTATAATATAAAATACATATACTCCATATGTTTCTGATCTGATATTCGTAAGGAATATGCTAACCTGTCCTGATCCTCTTAGCTTCTTTTCTCGTTTCTGTAACCTACGTGTGAAACAATCACACGCTAAGTCTATGACTTAGTGAGGCCTTAAAATTATAAAACAACTCTAACTATTTACACATGCATGACTACATCACCTTATAATGCTACAACAAAACAATATAAGATTATATATAACGTACTATACACATATACATATCACACATTATTTCCATCTCTAACCTTATTCCACTATCAATATTCTTATCATTTATATCTTATAATTATATCCTCTTATATCTATTCTTTTAATCAACATATGATTCAATTAACCAAGCAATACAAACATCATCATATAAATCATATCAGATTATCTAATAAGAAATACATGCATACATATAAATCATCATTAGTCACTTATCATTTAATCACATAGCACATATACTTAATTTTATCTTTTTAATCATATACTATACTCATACCTCATCATGTCCTTTCTATTCATATCACAACATATATTTGTTATTATCTCTTGATTAGCCCATGTACATATATGAGAACTGTAGATATGTGAGTCTCTAGAGGTTGTGCACTAATATTGTCACCACAGCTCGTGTAAATGCACCAAAGTGCCACGTAAAGTTGCACCGAAGTGCTGTGTAGAATTGCACCGAAGTGCCATATAAAATGTCCTTAAGGACCACGTAGAAAATTCCTTAAGAATCATATATTGTTGGGTTATGGGGTCCAGCAATCACCCTTAGGGATTCTATCGTGTATGGCCGCGATATTGGTGTGTGACTGCCCAACCTGCCGAGGCCCACGTGTGCCTCGCGAAGCTCCTAGGCCCGCCTGCAGAACGCTATAGATACGGGGCTCTGCAATGCCGTGGTGAACTGTGGGGGTGCCCCATAAGAATCCACATTGGCTTGGGGGGAACCCAGTGATCACCCACTACAAAGATATGAGGTTAAAATAACCCACCTACTTATCGCCAATTGGTTTTAAGAATGAATGGTGATCATTCGCTTCAGAACTCTGTGGTTAAGTGTGCTTGGACTAGGAAAATCCAAGGATGGGTGACCCACTGGGAAGTTGTTCAGAAATGAATAACTCGATCCTAACAATTGGTATCAGAGCAGATTGCAGGTTCGAATCCCCCAGGTGTCGCTGGGGGTGATTGTTGGGTTATGGGGTCCAGCGATCACCCTTAGGGATTCTATCGTGTATGGGCACAATATTGGTGCGTGACTACCCAACCTGTCGAGGCCCACGTATGCCTTGCGAAGCCCCTAGGCCCGCCCGCAGCACGCTATAGATGTGGGGCTCTGTAATACCGTGGTAAACTGTGGGGGTGCCCCACAAGAATCCACATTGGCTTGGGGGAACCCAGTGATCACCCACTACAAAGATATGAGGTTAAAATGACCCACCTACTTATCATCAATTGGTTTTAAGAAGGAATGGTGATCATTCGCTTCAGAACTCTATGGTTAAGTGTGCTTGGACTAGGAAAATCCAAGGATGGGTGACCCACTAGAAAGTTGTTCAGAAATGAATGACTCGATCCTAATATATACATATGCCAAGGACCAAATATGTGTCTCAAAAGACCTTATACATGTTCCAAAGAATACATATATGTCCCGAAGGACCGCGTAGACCCTCGACTCTTGGCATGCCAACTATACCTCTAGCTCTCTTGAAACATAACATGGGCATTAATATTTAGATTATCTCACATTCACATATACATATAGTCTCATAGTTCTTTCACATAACTCATTATCAGATTTCCATAAAATCACACATAGTCAAGTAGTTCATTTCCATATAGTTCACATGTACATATACTCATATAGCTATTATCATTTCTCCTGTAAATACATAGATCACATCTCATAACATATATCATGTACATATAATAACTTATCGTATATCATATAACTTATGGTTTGTACTTTTATACTCACATCATTTATATATTAATTTCATATATTCCTTAGTTCAGTTTCACATAGTTTATTACATATACATGTATTCTCATAAATTATCATCAAATAGCTCCTATAACATCTTCCTATAGCTTCATTTAAGCCTATAAATCTTTCTCATATAATTTATCTCTTGTTCTTATATGTTTATATTTACCATATAGCACATAACTTTTATTGCATATCTATATCGCATTCCTACATCCCTAATTCATAATATAATTTATATCGTATCATCTATCTTATTCTTTATTTCTTGGTATGCACTGATATTACATTTGCATGCAATCTTATGACTTATTATCAAGTAATTCAGATAATATTCTTGTATTGTTTCATAGATCATTATCATATAGACATAAATGCACATCACATAACATGTAATGCAAGCATGACACATTCACATAGTATATAATCATAATCATGCTTCGACTCATGCTATCATATATTCAAATATTGGGAACAAACTTATCACAAGTCTAATTTCCATGTAAAAATACATATATTCCAATAGTATGCAATCACATGTGCCTCACTTGCTATCAATTACTCCTATGTCTTACTTTCTCTTCTTGATCAATTATAACCTTTCAATCATTACGGAACTTGCTCTCGATCGATATCTACACAATCATGTATATATATTAGTATTCTAAATACTATGATTTGATCCTTGATTTCTTAAGCTATAAGAAAGATCTCCTTCCATTTTCCCTTTGAAGTGCATCGGTATACTCTTGTAGTGTATCGATGCACTAATTACTTTCGATATTTAAATTTCATGGGGGTGCATCGATGCACTAACTGTGAATCGGTACACTCATGGCATTCGATGTTTCCATTTTTTAATGGGTGTATCGATGCACCTCCTGTGCATCGATGCACATTGAATTATTTCTAAAATTTTCCCTTTATGCATCGGTACATATTGAGTGTGTATCGATGCACATTCGCCCAGAATTCCATTTCGTGCACGAAAATCCACTCAAATCAACTCAAATACTTCATCTTTCATTCACTTTCATGTTCTTAACTCATATACACATGCTTAAACCAATTTATATCCATATAAACCATCTTCTTTAACCTCAAAATTCTTTCCCTCATATGTAACTCAAGAATTACACCAACTTTGCAACATGTTTTAATTTTAATTTTATTGCTTCTAACTTCTTAATTAGACCCTTTACAAGTCAAATTCAACTTCAAAATCTATTAACTCATTCTATTTCAATAATTCACTTAAAAACTCCTTTTACTTAATCTCTTATAACTTATTCATTTTGGAGTTTTAAGTCACCATAAATCTTCCCTTACTCTTTCTTATCACTCAAGAATCAAAAGAAACCATAAAATTGAAGAAACAAGCAAATTAAATCCAACTCACCTTATACATAAAGACACGGGAAGAATAAGAAACTGAACCCCATCTCTCTAAACTTTTCTCTCCCCTTTACACGTGGTTATCTCTTTTATAAAGAGATAATAAAAATATTTCTTTACAAAGACCAATTTACCCTTACCTCCTTACATATTTACCAAATAATCCTCAAAATATTCCTAATTATGTCTCTGAACTTTCCAATCTTTTGAAATTAGACCTCAAATTTCCAAAATTTACATTTAAGTCACTAGTCCTTATTTTGGGATGTTACAAATCTCCCCTCTTTAAAGAAAATTCATCCTCGAATTTTCACTGCACATCTTGATAAGAACATATCTTCTAATATTCTCATGTTGTTTTCTCAACTTTATTCCTTCGTAATTTATAATCAGTGATTTGCCCTCAATTTCCAAAGAACCCAACTTATATCTATCTTTTCTCTCCTTTGATTCTGCATTTTTCCTTTGTCCTTATAAAAATCTATGTAATGTCATTCATCATGTAGACAGTAACATCCATTTTCATCACTCAACATCATAAACCCATCTCTAATTACTTCATAACAATAATCAAACTCTTATTCTATCATTATTTAACCAAGAACATAACCAAAATCTTCTTCAAATATGAGTAAACATATGCTTTATGAAATCAAACAATCTTTTCATAACACCTTACACACTTTTCTTACTTCTATATTAAACTTATCATCTACACTTCTATATAACCTTTATCATATCTAATCCTTTAAACTCAATCCTTTTTATTTTTTTATTCCATTATTCATTTATTTACTCAAAATCGAAATCTCCTTATACACAAATCATCTCTTTCCTTTCATGTTCACATACTCTTGTCCTATTACCTATACTCATCTATGTGTACCAATCTTCATTGCATCCTCGTAACTTTGATAACCCAATTTATTTATACATGACTTCATTCTTTATTATATCTTATACTTGTATTTTCCTTCCTTAAAGCTCCACACAAATACTTTTCTCCTTATCTACATCATAGTTATCTTATCAGAATACACAACTATATTCAGATCCACATCATAATTGATTAACTCAACTTTATTATTATTTTTTTTCCAATCTTATAACTCTATCACCTTTACTCTAACAACTAGTCAATAACATATGTTTAATCTATGGAAAAAGCCCTAGTCAACCAATCATATACATCATTTCCAATCGAAATTATCTCAAAATTAGTTTATTTAACTTATCAAATTCACCTTTATTCTCATACATCCAGTAATTTCCGTTATTCCAACCCAACGTTCTAACTTCCTTTATCTTATAAACTGATCACTGATGTACCCATCCTTAAACTCTTCTTATCAATCCTTAACTTTACTCAAACATACAAATCCTCACCTTCTTCACTATGTCACATTATTATGATCAAATATACAACTGTATCCAGATCCACCTCATCTTTGGTTAATTTATCATGACAATATCTCAAAATCTTATAATTCCAATACATTTTCCATCACATAATCTGGTTAGCCAACGCTAACTCTTTCCATCTAGAATGCAAACCTTTATTATATTCACACTTTTGCTTATACACAATACTATCTCTTTGTTTCAAATTCATCATTCTAGTTTCATTTATCTTATAAATTGGTCACTTATTCACTTATTCTTAAACTCTTCTACAAATTCTAATCACATCATTAAATCTTTTAACTTCCTTATAGTGACACTTGTTCACCATATTCTATCTTATCTGCGTAATGACAAACTACTCCATAACACTTGTCCGATTCAAAACAGTGAAGACTCTTTATCACTATTCGGATATGATTTCAACTTTTTGAAATCAACCTTTGATCTTACGAGGCACTTCCTGAGGTGTCCGTTCTTCATCCTACCTGGCCAGGGCAGGTGAATAGCTATCATAATCAGGAATATCGCCTTTTACTTTACTTCAAAATTATCATAATCATACTTCTATTATAACTTAGCAATATAATTCTATTAGCAAAACAACACACTTCTTACACTATCAGATCATAAATTTTCACTATATTTTGGCATGCATTCAATTTAAAAACTCTATAGACCTTGGTTTATGCCTAGAACCAGCTAAACCATAGGTCTGATACCATAAAATGTAACACCCTCAACCCGTATCCAACCCGGATCCGAGTCCGAGGTGTCACATTGACTTTTCAAAACTTTTTTCTTTACAAATCCCCCAAAATCTTAAATTCATAATTTGAGAAAGTGAGTACTTTTTAGAAATAAATATAATCAAATTGTTTTACAACCTAATCAGAGCATATTCAATCCAAATCTTGTAACTACATGCCAACTAAATTCTATAATATAAAATACATATACTCCATATGTTTCTGATCTGATATTCGTAAGGAATATGCTAACATGTCCTGATCCTCTTAGCTTCTCTTCTCGTTTCTGCAACCTACGTGTGAAACAATCACACGCTAAGTCTATGACTTAGTGAGGCATTAAAATTATAAAAGAACTCTAACTATTTACACATGCATGACCAAATCATCTTATAATGCCACTTCAAAACAATATAAGATTATATATAACGTACTATACACATATACATATCACACATTATTTCCATCTCTAACTTTATTGCACTATCAATATTCTTAACATTTATATCATATAATTATATCCTCTTATATTTATTCTTTTAATCAACATATGATTCAATTAACCAAGCAATACATACATCATCATATAAATCATATCAGATTATCTAATAAGAAATACATGCATACATATAAATCATCATTAGTCATTTATCATTTAATCACATAGAACATATACTTAACTTTATCTGTTTAATCATATATTATACCCATACCTCATTATGTCATTTCTATAACATTCATCATATTACAACATATATTTGTTATTATCTCTTGATTAGCCCATGTACATATATGAGAACTATAGATATGTGAGTCTCTAGAGGTTGTGCACTAATGTTGTCACCACAGCTCGTATAAATGCACCAAAGTGCCACGTAGAGTTGCACTGAAGTGCTGCATAGAATTGCACCGAAGTGCCATATAAAATGTCCCTAAGGACCACGTAGAAAATTCCTTAAGAATCATATACATATGCCAAGGACCAAATATCAAAAGACCTCATACATGTTCCAAAGAATACATATATATCCCGAAGGACTGCGTAGACCCTCAACTCTTGGCATGCCAACTATACCTTTAGCTTTCTTGACACATAACATGGGCATTAATATTTAGATTATCTCACATTCACATATACATATAGTCTCATAGTTCTTTCACATAACTCATTATCAGATTTCCATAAAATCACACATAGTCACGTTGTTCATTTCCATATAGTTCACATGTACATATACTCATATAACTATTATCATTTCTCCTGTAATCACATAGATCACATCTCATAACATACATCATGCACATATAATAACTTATCGCATATCATATAACTTATGGTTTGTACTTTTATACTCACATCATTTATATATTAATTTCATATATTCCTTAGTTCAGTTTCACATAGTTTATCACATATACATGTATTCTCATAAATTATCATTAAATAGCTCCTATAACATCTTCCTATGGCTTCATTTAAGCCTATAAATCTTTCTAATATAATTTATCTCTTGTTCTCAAATGTTTATATTTATCATATAACACAACTTTTATTGCATCTCTATATCGCATTCCTACATCACTATTTCATAATATAATTTATATCGTATCATCTATCTTATTCTTTATTTCTTGGTATGCACTGATATTACATTTGAATGCAATCTTATGACTTATTATCAAGTAATTCAGATAATATTCTTGTATTGTTTCATAGATCATTATCATATAGACATAAATGCACATCACATAACATGTAATGCAAGCATGACACATTCACATAGTACATAATCCTAATCATGCTTCGACTCATGCTATCATATATTCAAATATCGGGAACAAATTTATCACAAGTCTAATTCCCATGTAAAAATACATACATTCCAATAGTATGCACTCACCTGTGCCTCACTTGCTATCAATTACTCCTATGACTTACTTTCTCTTCTTGATAAATTCTAACCTTTCAATCATTACGGAACTTGTTCTCGATCGATATCTACACAATCATGTATACATATTAGCATTCTAAATACTATGATTTGATCCTTGATTTCTTAAGCTATAAGAAAGATATACTTCCATTTTCCCTAATTACATTCGATATTTAAATTTCAAAGGGGTGCATCGATGCACTAACTGTGCATCGGTACACTCATGGAATTCAATGTTTCCATTTTTAATGGGTTTATCGATGCACTTCTTGTGCATCGATGCACATTGAATTATTTCTGGAATTTGCCCTTGATGCATCGATACATATTGAATGTGTATCGATGCACACTCGCCCATAATTTCATTTCGTGCACGAAAATCCACTCAAATCAACTCAAATGCTTCATCTTTCATCCCCTTTCATGTTCTTAACTCATATACACATGCTTAAACCAATTTATATCCATATAAACCATCTTTAACCTCAAAATTCTATCCCTCATATGTAACTCAAGAATTACACCAACTTTGCAACATGTTTTAATTCCAATTCTATTCCTTCTAACTTCTTAATTAGACCCTTGACAAGTCAAATTCAACTTCAAAATCTATTAACTCATTATATTTCAATAATTCACTTAAAAACTCCTTTTACTTAATCTCTTATAACTTGTTGATTTTGGAGTTTTAAGTCACCATAAATCTTCCCTTACTCTTTCTTATCACTCAAGAATCAAAAGAAACCATAAAATTGAAGAAACAAGCAAATTAAATCCAACTCACCTTATACATGAAGACACGGGAAGAAGAAGAAATTGAACCCCATCTCTCCAGACTTTTCTCTCCCCTTTACACGTGGTTATCTCTTTTATAAAGAGATAATAAAAATCTTTCTTTACAAAGACCAATTTACCCTTACCTCCTTACATATTTACCAAATAATCCTCAAAATATTCCTAATTAAGTCTTTGAACTTTCCAATCTTTCGAAATTAGACTTCAAATTTCCAAAACTTACATTTAAGTCACTAGTCCTTATTTTGGGATATTACAAGTATAGTTGGCATGCCAAGAGTTGAGGGTTCTACGTGGTCATTTGGGACATATATGTGATCCTTTGGAACACATATGTGGTCCTTCAAGACATATATTTGGTCATTTGGAACATATATGTGGTCCTTAGGGACAATTCTATGTGGTCCTTAGGGACAATTCTATGTGGTCCTTCAGGACATATATGAGGTCCTTCAGGACATATATAAGGTCCTTTAGGGCAATTTTATATGTCACTCAGTGAAAATTTATACGAGCTGTGGTGACAACATTTGTGCACAATTTCAATGCGCTCACATACCTTAAGTTCTCAATAATGTACATGGGCAGAGAAAAAATATAAAAATAATTAACTTTATTATAAGATGACATGTTATTAATTGTGAAATGTATTACAATATTTATGTGATGTTGTATGTATTGTTTGGCTAAATGAGTCATATGATGATATATGTGCATATAAGCATTTTGGTTGTAGGAAATGTATATGCATAGTTATAGTTTCCATTATTAGTTTATATGTCTCACTAAGTCTGTGACTTAGCGTGTGAGTGTTTCACACGTAGGATATGAGAAGTTTGAAAAGTGAAGATAAGCAGCAGAGACAACATAACATCATTGGAGATCATATCAGAAGAAATTTAATAGTAGGTTTCTTTGTTGCATTAAATAACGTTGGTATGTACCTAAAGGATTAAATTGTATAAGCTTTGATCATTTTTTGTAAACTTTTTGATTTAATATATGTAAATTATTCAGTATATTTAAATTAAGTATGAAATTATCCTCTATTTGATATAAGTAAATGATTTGAAAAGTCAATGTGATGCCTCAGACTCGTATACGGGACGGATACGGGTTGTGGGTATTACAGTTGGAGTTTTAGATTTAGATTATCTTCCATATGAGACTTTCTTATCTAATCTTACTATATTGGCTCTTTCGTCATCTTCTTATTATGGGATAAAGATGTGATCTTCGGTTTTTGGAGTTTCGAATAAAACTTTTCTCACTTCTTCTTCTTTAGTTGAAGTTTTGCTTTTGAGACTCACTTCTTTTCCCTTTGTTAGTGTTTACACAACAACCCATTTGAGAAAATGGAATCTATAGATGGAATTTGACTCATAAGTAAATAGACATTGTTGTGTTAAGATGAAAAAATAAGCTTTTTCTTTTCATAAAGATTCTGTTATGAATTTTTCTTGCTTTAGAAAATGAAGAAGACGATGAGAGAAAGTAAAAATGAACTTTATTTATTATAATTTGGGTAATGGTGAGGTGGTCAACGGTTCAGGTAAACGGTTAATAGCCAGTTAAGTTTTTCGTCACCCATATTAATGATAATTGATCAATTTGTTACAAATCCAACATTAGTGACCATTTTATTACTTGTAAAACTTCATTAAAAAACAAAATCTCACTCAAACATTAATGATCATTTATGTAGTTTACCCTGTTTATTTTATGGTTTCTACTTTCTATAGGGTTAAGTCTAAACCCTAAGCCAGTATCCCACCTAAAATCCTGAGATGCGGACATTGAAGATTAAGGAGCCAAGCAAAAGCGTAACATAAAAATGGAGAAGCTGAAAACCTTGGCTTTAGTGGGAGGCGGAGCTTTTGTAGGTGATGTTTCTACCTTGTTTATTCTTAAGCTTCTCCTAAGGTGAAGATACTAAATTTTTTTTATTATAATTATTATTATAATTATAATTATTATAATTATTTAGATATATATTATTATTATTATTAAAAAATAATAAATAATAATAATAATTACAAACAGGCCCAAATTATCTGGCCCAATTACAAGTTCAGATGGCCCAACTAAACCCTAAAAAATAGATTAGGGTTTGATCTAACCCTAGCCGCCTCATCATCTCAGCCGTTAGATCTGAGAGATCCAACGGCCCACACTCCTCCAGATGCAAACCCTAGGGTATGATACCCTAGGGCCACGCGGCCGCCACAGCTGCTCCCACCATCTCCACCGCTGCCACGTCTCGTCGAAGGCTTCTAGAAGAGCCACTCCAGCCGCACACGTCTCCCCCAAACGGTGAGTCACCACTGGAAGTCCGGTGACTCACCGAAGAAACCCTTTTGGACCGGTCCGAAGCTATCACTGGTGGTGGCTATAAAAGCCACCGAGCCCCTGCCAACAAAAAGAAGAGAGGAAGAACGAAGAACAAAAAAAAAACCCACAACACAGCAACCAAAAACAAAAGAAAAGAAAGGAGAGAAGCTTACCGAGGAAGCCACGACCGCCGGACCTCTTCAAACGTCACCAAAACCTTCGAAAATCGAATGTACTTTCTTAGATTTGCTCTGATCGGGAGCTATTTAAGAGAAAAGAACACCGGAACCGTCATTAGGACGGTCCGATCTACGTTTTAGTGTAAAAAAAAAAATTTCGGCCACCGAAGGTGGTGGCCGACGGCGGGGTCAACGCCGGAGAACGGCTGCCGGCCGGTCGCTTCTCTCTGTTTTAGAGAGAATTTTAAATTCTCTCAGAGAAGAGAGAGAGAGGGAATAAAGGAAATGAGAGCTAGCCCTTCGGGCCAGCCGGTTTCGGGCTTTAAATAGCCCTTCCCGAACGACGTCGTTTCGGGGAGGGCTATTTGTGTAATTAACTAAGGGTTAAATCCCGTCCGCAGTCCTTTAACTTGTAATTCTTACATTTTAGTCACTAAATCAAATTTATAATCCTTTTAATTTGGTCTCTAAATTTTATTTATTTATATTTTAGCCCTTAACCGTAATTATAAATATTTTAGATAAATTACTGATTTAATCCTTTAATTTTAATAAATAATATTTTAATCCTGAGTATATATTTTTAATTTATTTTAATCTGATATTTGAATTTTATATAATTTTATTTTAGTCACCAAATTAATAAATAAGGAAAATGGTATGTTTAATCCCTATAATTTTAAATAATTAATTATGAATTAGGTATTTAATTTTAATTTTATTATAATTTAGTCACTAATTTTAAATATTTTCATTTATTTTACTGCTTTTAAATATATAGTTCTAATTGTATTTTTATTATTTTAATTTTACTTGTTTATATATTTAAATATTATTTTTATATAGTCATATATATATATATATATATATAATAAATAATAATTTATATTTTTTTTACATAAATTATTTTAATATTTATTTATTTATTTTTCAATATCGAAGAAAAGGGAAGTCTTACTACAACTGGATGTCATATTCTGGTATTTTAAAATTAAATATTATAAAAAATTATAATTTAATTTTATTTAAATTATTATATTAATATTTATTAATATCGAAGAAAAGAGCTGTCTTAAGGCACCTAGAAGTCCTTTTCTGATATTTCTAACTAAATAAATATTATATTTATAAATATATATAAATTATTTTTTTTCTTTTTCCTCATAATTATAATTTTGAAATAATAGGATTATAAATTAAATATATTTTGAATTTTTAAATTTCTAATAATAGAGACAATTTATAATTAAAAAGTACCAATTTTGGGCGTTGTAGGGCTGCTAATCTTCCCTAAACGTAACCGACCACGAATCTCTTTTTATTATTAAAAAGAACGAAATTTTGGTTAAAACGCATATCAGTTTATCTTTTAATTGATGTTTTCTTAAAAATTCTTTTAAAAGATTTTTTTTTTAGGTATTCGACCTACCTGACCCAAAAGGGCGATGGCGACTCCCAAATTATTTTCAAAACCATTTATTCACATCACTTTTCCCGCCAAATAAATATTTCGTGCCCGGACGAAAACCGGTTACGACACAAGGCAAGGGTCTTCTCATACCGTTTGAAGTTCAGTTGATCTAATTGATTCGTCGATCGCTTTTTCCTCTATTTTTGCATTGGAAATGTTAGTTCGTTTTTGTTTGTCCACATCGATGTTCGCTAAAATTCCTAAATCTGAATAGAATTTCTAGGCTCTGCTTTCTTTCGTTTCAGGGAGTTTTTTTTGAAGTAATTAATTGACTTTTAGTTGCCCAGAAAGAAGACCAACTATAAGAATTTTGAACGAATCATTTACTTGACCTGATTTCGTAAATAATAGAAAATTGGTATCCTTTAGGCAGTTTATCAAAAAAAAAAATTAATGATTGAAGCATCATTGTTTTTGCAGAAGGATTTCAAATCAGTGCGATAAAAATGCTATCGAATTGAATGGTAATGACTGTTTTATTAATAATTGTCTTGTTATACAGCATTTCTATGTTTTAGGAAATCGGATTAGTTGTCGAGCTTTTGCCTGAAAGAAAAGGCTTGCTGTTGAATTGTTTTCTCTCGTTTGATTTATCAATAGACCTCTACATGCTTTTAGCGATTATCTATACGCCTTGTAACGTTACAAACACAATTGACCGGCAATGTACTTTTCTTTAGCTGAAAATTATAGCTGCTACAGAAACCGACATCTGAAATTGTTCTGGTAGATATGATTAAGTGAGACTAATATTTAGAAGTCTTTTCAAGACGCGCACTTAGGCGTGCCTGTGCCTTAGCATTATTCATCAAAAGTGCCCTAGATCCTTTCAGACCAGGCTCACACCTAGTGTGCTTAGACACCCTTTTTAAGGGGATAGACATACAAAAAGCTCGCCTAGCTGAATTTCTCTTTAATTTCTTCTCTTTCTTTTTATTTGATATGCCTTTAGTAATATGAAAAGGATACTATCAAACTGTATACATCCTAATATTTACGCATTCAACAACAAACATTGACCAATGAGGTTGCATGTTTTATAGATAAACTAGAATCCACTTTGGAGTTTATTATATATCTTAAGCTTTATATATATACATCTATTACAAAATCTCGCTTATTTACATATTGTGCTTTATTTCACCCAGGCTAGTGCCTTTTTCTGTGTGCCCTGCGGTTGAGTATAAGGGCTTGAGCACCTAGAGTGCACCTTGTCCCCTTGACACTGATATGTAGGTAATTACTAGTTGTAAGCCTCTCAGTTATCACTTACTCGCTTGCTAATGAATCTCTATGAATTTGATTTTATAATGAATCCTTCATTGTTTGAAAAACAAATTCTAATAGGATTTTGTAGTGTTCTGTTTAATAAAGAGGCTATGTGAAATTGAGGTTGGCAAACAGATGGTTATTATTATTTTTTGACAGTTTTGTCTTAGTTTATTAATATGATGAATTATGGATTTTTATGACCAAAATACTGTTTTACGATTAGGGGTGAAATCGGTTCAGTTTGGTCGAATTTGTTGATTTTGAGTCGACCATTTTAATTTGGTTTGGATCAGTTCTTGGTTTTTCCATATTAATTTTTGGTTTTGACTTTATTTTGACAAAATGGATTTAATTTTTGATTTTGACATTTATTTGATAAATTTTCAAAGTCTTTTATGTAAATATTTCTAGAAAAATTAATTTTTGAAATGAATAAACAATTAATATATCTTATATAATATTTGTAATTATTTTCAATATTCAAAATACAGAACACTTATTTTCCATTATAAAAAACAATCAATTAGAAATTAAATAGAAAATTGAATTTGGTTCGGTTTGTGTGCCCATGGTTTTTAAACTCGTATTCCATAAATTGTCCAAACACTTCAGTTTGATTTTTGGTTTGGTTGGGTTTTCTTCTCAGCAATATTTGTGATAGCTATGAATTGGATCCCTCTCAAAGGAAGACAATTGGTATAGAACTAGTGGTATTCGACTATTCGGTACTAATGGGTTATAACAGTTAGCATATGATCCCGTCTAATAGGTTATATTAATTAGCACATGCTCATGCTAAAAGATTGAATTAGTTATAATGTGGGTATACTAACATTTATAATGGTTAGTAACTATCGGAATGGGGCTATAGCGGCGTTATTTTAGTCCTATAGCGATGTTTTTAAGCGTCGCAAAAAACCTTCTCGACATATAAAATAGCGCAGCAAGAAATGCCGTTAAAACTAACGCCGCAAACATTGGCGGTGTTTGTAAATAAAAAATGCCGCAATAGGTTCATACATTTAGCGGCGTTTTTCTTACAAGCGTTGCAAAAGGTTCAGACGTTTAGCGGCGTTTTTCTTATAAACACCACAATGGGTAGGTAATTTAGTGGCGTTTTTAACTGAAAAAGCCACAATTGTGTAGACCATTAGTGACTTTTTTATTTTAAAACGTCGCAAATGAAACCTGCTTTGCAAATGTTATTTTCTGCTATTTATTACCTAAGTTTAATATCATGTAGCAATATCCAATAACAACAACCTTAAAATTTAATTACGACCCAAATTAAGTAAAAATAATTGACATAAATAAATCAAAGTTTACAAATTGACAACTTCTGCAAGCAAATTCCTCTTAACTCTCACATGTTCAACATATGTTACATACACAATCTGTGAGTCTTCATTGCTCCTTAACAGGGAAAGAAAGTAAAAAAAATAGTTTTGCTTGTTTGATGAATCATCGTTAAGTTTTTCCTCCGTGTAAATTGTAAATGGAGAACCTCTTCATCCATTTCACCAAATAAATCCCCTAGTTCAGGGTCACCAAGAAGACTCATTGCACACTTCAATGCTTCACTTGAAACAGATAACGACCTTCCACCTGCAGTATGAAACAAAAGAGAGAGTTACCGCAACTATTTTCTAATGGAATCACTTTACCTGTGTAGGAAGTAAGTTTTTCCTTAAAAAAAAAAAGAGCTCGGTTCAACAATTTCATGATCATCTTGGTAACTATACTAAATGATTTTAGTAACCTATGCTCTTTGGTTTTAAAATCAGAGAAACCATTTTGGACATAAATTCAATTCCTACATAGTCCATGGTTCTAATTCAGCTACAAATTTTTAGATATGAAAATTAAAGTAAAAAAGAGAAGTGTTTACTTGGAGTAATAGTAGGGGTAGTGTCGTCTTCATCGATGATAGATAATGCTTTTACAATTGAAGATTCTTTCAATTCCATGGATTTCCTCAATCCGGTTCTAAACATCGGGTAATTATCTACTCCACCATTGTTCTCAATAAGCTTCGACCATCCTGCGTAGGATCTATGAAATTTGAGATCACAAAATAAAAATATAGAGGCGAAAAGATTCAGAGATTATTACCTTGAAGCAAGAGATCGGCCATTGAAGGGTGTGGTGTGGAGCAACAGGAGCTCCATTCGGGTCATCATCGTGTTTCGATGGTAGGACCAGACCGGAAACCTCCCAACAATAATTTGATCCGGTGTGAGAGAAAATCTGTCACGTGGACATTCCAACGAATCAAATAAACTAAATAAAAGTGAATGAAATTCATAACATCCCACAGATATCGTAGGATAAGAAATTTTGACAAAATCGTCAAATTGAACAAATCTGCATAAAAAAATTATCCTTTTTGCACACGACATTAATGAATCCCAGAGAGCATTACAAAAGTACAATTTATCCTCTCACTTTCCTTAGGCTTTAAGAATGAGTATAATTTTAAACATTATCTAGGAAAACTACAGTCACAAAAAGGTCTAATTCCACGTACCTGTCCATCTTGCATTCCTTTCTCAATATCAACTGTGAGAGTGTACCCCTCTCGTTCATATTTGACATTTTGGCACTGCTCCCAAACCTGAAATCGGTAAACAAGTCTAATTAATTCGACATACAATACAATCGCAGCAGCAATCATCATTCATATCTCAACAAAATGCAGAACTGTTAATGCAGTATCTTAGAGACACATGGCAACATTTCTGATAACTTGCATGAATAAAAATGGTAAAATCCAATTATCACTCAGATATCATCACAATCAAGTGTTACTGATTCGACAAAACGATTCAAAAAAAAAAAATACTATCACAATCAAGTGTTGCAAACACAAAACTAATCATAAATTCAAAACTAATGACACTAAAAGCAAGCACAAACCCAAGATTTTAGAAGTGTAATGTAAGCCACAAGATCATAAATGAACCACCATAGCCACACTTTCATGCATGTTTAAAATTCCCAGAAAAAGAAAGAATCTTGCAGAAAAATAGGTGCTGTCAAAGGAGTAAAGTTAGGAACCCTATGATCATGGAAGTATAATGCTACTGAAATTCATGGAGAAAGGGGAAATTAAGATAATAAATAAGAAAAGTAAAGCTAATAGAGTAGATCCCAAAGACATAAGAAATTTAAACAGCCGAAGATAACATTTTAAAAGCTATGATTACCCAACTAATCTTAATCTAATCAGAATTACAATCAACCCCAATCCAAAAACCACAAATAAAACAAGCTAAAAGGGACAAAAACATAAATAATTAACTTACAATTAAGAGGTGTGTTTTTAACTTCATTACAAAGATACCCTAATCCAAAAATGATTAAACAAATCATGAGATAATAAATAAAAGAAATCCATAAGTGAAATTGGGAGAAAGTGAAAAGAAAGGAAGGAAATTTCACCTTAGACCCACATCCTCTAATCACATCTTCATCAAGATTCTCCATCAACATTCCTTTTTCAATTCAAGGCACTCAATCCGAAATCCACATCTCAATCTCCATGCAAAATCAAAATGAAAGAAAAGGCGAAATCGAAGTAATTCCCTTCAAATCAAAATGAAACAGAAAAAGCTAATTTGGATAATATTCCCCTAGCAAGTTGAAGAACAACGTATAAGAAGAAAAAGAAAAAGTGAAATCAAAATGTAAGAAACTTACATCCTATTGTTATAGAAAGAAATTAGGGTGCGACGTAGAAGAAAAACATACTTGGTGGTTGGAAGTTGACGACCGGAAGAGAGCGACAGCTGCTGATGGTGGTGCATGCGCTATGGTGGATGTGCTGAGTAAGGGTTAGAGCACTTGAAATAATTGAGAGAGGCAGAGAGCTGATTGATCGAGAGGAAGAGGGATTTTGGGGTTTTTATTAAACTTTGCGGTGTTTTGTTTTCCAAACGTCACTATAGTACACACAATTGCGGCGTTTTTAAATGACACGCCACTAACAATCTAAATTATTGCGGCGTTTAAAAAAAAGCCACAAAAGTACCAAATTATTGTGGCGTTTCTCCAACAACGCCACTTTTTAACAGTCTATCACGGCGTTTATAAACAAAATGCTGCAACGTTTCCCAAAAACGCCACTATATATCGGTCTATCGCGGAGCTTATCTAAAAACGCCACTATATGTAAAACATTATCGGCGTTTGCTCTAAAAACGCCACTAAAACCACCGCTACAAACCTGTTTTGTTGTAGTGTATTAAGAGAACAAGATTATCAATATGACTAGCCGTTGATTATGGTAGTGACAGTATCTAACAGCGATGAATCTTTTATGATTCTAAAAAAATCAAAACTGAATTGTATGATATGATATTTCAAGAATGATCTATTTTCGAAGTTGAATAATGAATTCGTGATATTATCCATTTTTATATGAATATATGATATCATAATGATCCTCTAATGATATCATAATGATATTCTAATGATATCATAACGAGTGTTCTCAAATGGTCCATGTAAGATATTGAGAATGATACTTGATCCGGTAAGGTGGGAGTGAATATACTTTTAAGGTTTGTTTTGCTTATTCCTCCTTTATATTTTTGAATTAGTTAGAGATATAAACTTTTGAGAAGCTTGGATATTCAAGTTTGGATTAAATGATATGCCTGTGTTGCATCTCAGTTTCTGTATGTGACAGCATCACTAAGTTAAAAGATTCTTGATATTTTCTTTTGGCTAGATACTTCAAAGGAAACTTACATGATGCGGAGATTGTTGTTTGATTGTTTAGTATGCTTGTCACAAGTGATGAAAAGCTGCAGTTATTTTAATTTTTAATCCTTGTGTTTGATGCTCTAATTGACCTACAACGCACACAGAAGGCGAAGCATTCTAGATTTGATAATCGTATTTGTTAATTATGTGTTATTTTAAAATTTCAACATCATTTACCATTCAAATTTGAACTCTTGTTTTTGTTCCATTTCTTTGATTGTTATTTCTTGAATTGGAATTGCATCAGACACAATTGTCAAATGCGGGATCGATCTTGGAAATGGAAATTGTGGGCTGGCTGGCTTGAACCTTCTAGCAGATGAAATAATTTCTGAACAACTGACTAGGTAAATCTCTTTAACTCGAGGTTTATGGTTGAACGATGTTTTCAAAGTTGACCCTCTCTACGAAATTAAAATGCTACATGAGAATTGTGTTTTTTTGTTCATTCCTCAAGATCTTAGTTCATGTTTTCCCTAAATCTTGTATTCTCACTTGTCAAGACAAGCTGAAAGTCAAAGGTGAGAGTATTGGTCTTTTTGTGTTTGTATAGCATGTGCACTACTATCTCCCTATATGGACTTATGAAAAATGTTTATTTGTATGATATATTATCATACTATATATGAATTTTGTTATAACAAAGATTTTTATGTGGATGATCAACCTGGCAACTTTCAACAACTGGAAGAATTTTTTTGATAGAATATTAGGCCTCATTAAAATCCTCCTTTTTCACCCTCCATGTTATGCAATAACATGAAGGAAAAGAAAGGAGAATTTAGAGGTTGTTAGATTTTTATTGTTCATAGGCTTAAAGTCTTTGAAGGTGTTGTTAGATGGGTAACTAGGACAACTAACTTAGAGGCTGATGCCTTAGCAATAGGCTGAGTTAGTGTTGCTGTTTACGGTTGTTTTATGGTTTTCTATTTCTGTAAGGGGTGTTTTTCTTTGTTGTTTCTTATGTAACTTTCTTTTGATGAATAAAATCTTAAGGCACTCTTTTTCTCCTTCCGCTGATTAAGGAGCTTCCCTACAAGCTCCATTAATCAAGAAGGGGTTTTTTTACGAGGCTTGCAATTCTTATAAAAAAAAACAATTGGGAGAATTTCTGGATCAAAATAATTGAGGTTTCGGAGCAAGACCCTTCACAATAAGCAGAAACCCAGTAGCTATGTAGAATGTCTACATTTGGGGTGTAAGCTAACAAAAATGTCGGTTGAATAGTTTGTGAATGAGCACAATTTTAGCTTTTTTACGTGCTGTTACTAATTAAATAAACAAATTTAAGCACATTTAACAAGTGAGCAATGCTTTACTGTCATAAAAAAAGTGAGCCGTGCTCTATTATAGGTGAGCTTGGTTTGTTTAAGTTCATCTAGCTACTATATACATATGTATTATTTGAAAGTTTTTCCTTTTAGATTTTTATACTTTTACTATTTTACTTTCATTTTAGACACTTTTTAGTGTTTTAGTCAAAACCTACATTCTTTTTATTACAGCTAGACCTCAAATTTTGTGGATAATTGATTTTTTTTATAGGAATGGAAGGCCTCGTTAAAACTCCTTCATGATTAAAGGATCACAAAGTGCTCCTTAATCAGCGGAAGGGGGAAAGAGTGCCTAAATATTTCATTAATAACCACAAATTAAAAAAACTTAAAAACAACCATACAATTTCTCTTGCCAATAACCAACCCAAAACCTAACAGATAAACTAACCAACCAAACGAAAACATCATATCTATCCAATACCAGCCTTAGCTAAACTATCAGCCTCAACATTTGCTGACCTAGCAACCCATCTAATACTACCATTCAAACCTCTAATCGTATCGACAATAGCTGTCACAATGTCTAAGTACACATAGGGACAGCGGTCAATACTCTTGACCCATTCCACTGCTAAATTACTGTCTGATTCTTAATGAGTAACTTATAACATATGAACCAGGTATTTAAAGTTCATTTAAATGGCCAAACATCTTGGCTCTAACATTCTTTTCCTCCTCCTTGTTGATGCTTCCTACCTCTCTCACCCTCATCCACACTTTTCTCACTGATCATCTTTCATTTCCAGTAACTCAAGTTAAGAGTGTCATGTTTTTTGGAATAATTTTTTTGTGATAAATTTGTTGCTGATTCTTTTCCATCCTATTCAGCTAAAAATTTGTGGTCATGCATTGACCAATATTCATATAGTAAGCGAATATGACTTCGTTGCTTGTTGTTAGGAATATTCAATTCTTTGGCTTTGATTCTCAAGAAAAGGTTACAACATCCTATGTCGTGGTCATCGGTCTTGGAGGTGTTGGAAGTCATGCTGCATCTATGCTCTTGAGATCAGGAGTTGGCAAGCTCCTATTGGTGGACTTTGACCAGGTATCTTATATCTAACATTAATCCATTGTTAATTATTTTGGCTTTGCTAGTATATGGTCTGTATATTGCATATTTATCCAAATTTTGCGTGCAGCTGTTAGCTCTTACAAACGAAATAAGCTAAGAGGGGTGAATTGGTCTTTTAAAAATTTATGGAAACAATAGAAACTATTACTTTTTGCATAATGATTTAGAGTTGTTTAACTTTCTAAACCAAAGTATACATCCACTATCTTAGCATCCACACTAAGGATTTCTCAAATCCACTAGATTTATTAACCTTTGAGGACAAGGTGTACCTTACAATGACACACAAGCTTTATACCCAAAACCTTACTTACACTCTTTCTACAAGAGAAATTACAAATAGAGCAAACAAAGAGAAAACCTAACAATGCAAATATGTTTTCACAAATTATAGTTGTTACCTACAACCAAAAACAACATTTAATGCACAA